GCTTTAGCCCGCTGCGACACCAGCAGGGCCCAGGACTTCTTAATTTTATGGTCAAGGGATTTAAGTAACTTAGCAGTAATAAATATTTAGAACATATGCAGACCTGGAGCAACCAGCAAAATCCGGGGACATAATAAAAACGCCAGTTGTTAAATTTCTGATTTTGCTCAGAGGAGCGGCCCTCCTCGCTGCCACAGGCACCCTGCACCCCACCCCCACCCCGTCTCTCTGCGCTTTTCTTCCCTCTTCGCTCAGGACTCACCTTGAGGTTACTGATGTGCTTGAAAACAAAGGGGTTGTTGATGTTGATCTGTTTGCGGATTTTGTCGTTCATGGCATTCACGTACGTCTGGTAGACCGCCATGCACTTCTTGGCCAAGGATGACGCGTAGTATATGGGGATATCGTGGAGCTCCGGGTGGTTCTGCCAGTATTCATCTAGAGCGGTTTTATGAGAAAGGAATGTCCTCCTGTCACGTGGGGCACATCGTTCAAATAAAGACCGATACGACTTTTTACAGATTCCGACAACCACAGACAAACGCAGCCAGCATTTTCAGTAGTGTCAGAGACGTGGGCTCAGCCCTTACTGACGGCCTTACAACCAGACCATTTCTAGAACTAGTGTGTGATCACAGTCTCACAATGTGGAGACTTGTAAAAGTGATTTCGTAGAGGTTAGCACTGAATAATAGGCCATAACTTACTACCTCGCGAGACGCTAAGTTCCAATTTTAAGTAAAAATGTGTTAATATCTCAAATAGACACAATGACCTATAATTACGAAAATGTGCTAAACCAATTTTGCACATAAAAAAGTGTAGAAAGTCATACTACTATGTAACTGAATTTTGTTTCTACATGCTAAATACCTTCTGATAATTCATAAAAGCAGGGGACAACATATTGCCAAAGGAAGGCTTATTTATACAATTTACACCTATGATTTCTAATTTTCCAATCAACCTTATGAAGACTTATCTCCATCTCAATGATGAGGAAACTGAGGCTAAAGACAGGCTGAGCAGTGTGGGCGTGCTATTTTTCCACTTGATTTGTAAGTGAAAACTGTGGAAGGACAGAACTGTTCCTGCCATATGCCTCACAAACCTGTTTTCTGCTTTACCTTCTGGTCTGCTGTGGCCATGCTGTCTGAGGGTAATTCAAACATCGACAGGTACGAAGGTTTTCCATACACTCTTATGAGCTTTCACATACCTGCACAAAGCATTCCACCCCCCAAGATGACGTCAGTCTACTGTGGGGTCCCTTTGGGAATAAAGCTCAGGTTTTTGAACTATACGTTGCTGGTCCTTTTAGCATACCATGTCTAAGTATGTAATGCTCACCTATAATATGATTTTCCCCCATCATGAATTTTCTTGACATGGTATTTCTTTAAAAAATATGAAAAGGGGGCCCTCCCTGGTGGCACAGCGGGATAAAGCACAGCACTAAGAAGCTAAAGCACAAGTTTGATCCCTACCACTGAGGTGACCCCCAGGGCTCATCAGACCTCTCCTGTCTCACCTGCTGCTCC